ACTACGCCACGTGGGGTCGTGAATGAGAGGATAATATTTTATTTAAAGCATTTCTACTAGAATTTCCGCCAGCACACCCTGTTTAAGCTGATCAAGCACTTATCTCTCAGTGGGTCTCGTGATTGGCCAGAGAGATTGCGATTGTTAACCTGCACTATAAGTGCACTTGTAAGTATCCATTAGTTTCATAAGTGCGAACTGATAGTAAAACTATCGCCTTCTCGGCGACGGCCTTACACACATCCATTATGTCGTCCGCGGAGGAGCGTAACGCCTGGGCCGCTAGACTTCGGACTGCTTGCTAGTACCAGACTGGTTGTGATGTGAATTAACACAGAATCATTCTAGAGCAGTCCCATTACGCCATGATTTGACACTTATCTTTTTCTTTGTCCCAAAAAATTTACAGTACATACTACTCCTCACCGAGAAACAAAACAGAAACGATGTGAACGAGCCCAAAAGCGTGACCTCACATTCTGTCATGCAGACATTAACCATTCAGAGGTGGAGGACAGTTTCCAGCTGGCTTCTGATTGGATTAAATCTGCACGAAAGAATGTAAGGTCATACTTTTGGGCTCCTTGCTGTAAAAGTTCTAACTTACCCTCAGGAACGAGGAACGAGAAAGTTTTGCTTTGTTGTTTCTTGGTTTCATCTCACGATGAGCTTTGACAATAAGCTTTTTCTTTTCGCGGATTCTAAAGTAAAGAGAAAATTGCGCTCAGAAAGCTTTAACCAAGACAAGTAAATTCAGAGAGTCGCTAATAGATAATTAAACATATAACTCACTGTTCAGCTTTATATCTTATATCCTCTTCTTCAGAGTCCAATTCCTCCTGTAAAACGAGACAAATACCATAAAAAAACCTCAAAAACCATTATCAATAATTCGAGAAGTGACCTGTAACCGCGACAGAGGAAAGTCAGGCGACACGCGAGAGAGCATTTAACCCTATGCATACAGGGATGTTGTTTTTGCTCCCTGCGCCTGAGGGGAGAACTCTAGAGATCAGCCTCTATAACTTCAAAACCGCCATGCTCAGGCCACCAAAATTACACAGTAAAAACACTAAGGAAATCTTGGTAAGAACCTTACTAACAATTACTACAAGAATCTTAAAAAGAAAAATAGTAAGAATTTCCACGGGAATCTTGGTACAAATGTAAGAATATTGGTAAGATTTACTACGAAAATCTTGACAAGAACCTTGGTAAGATTTACTAAAGGTACCTTGGCAAAAATATTGGTAAGAACTACTATGGGTTTCTTGGCTAGAATCTTGGCAAGAATTACCAAAGGGAATCTTGGCAAGAATTACCACAGGGAATCTTGCCAAGAATTACCACGTGAATCTTGGCAAGAATCTTGGTAGGAATTACAGCGGTAATCTTGGCAAGAATCCTTGTAAGAACTTCCACAGGAATCTTGGCAAGAATTACAATGGGTATCTCGGTAAGAATCTTGGTAAGATTTACTATAGGTATCTTGGCAAGAATCTTGGTAAGAATTACTATGGGTATGTTGGCAAGAATGTTGGTAAGAATTACTATGGGTATCTTTGCAAGAATCTTGGCAAGAATTACTACGGGAATCGTGGCAAGAATCTTGGCAAGAATTACCACGTGAATCTTGGCAAGAATCTTGGTAGGAATTACTACGGTAATCTTGGCAAGACTCTCCGCAAGAATTGCCACAGGAATCTTGGCAAGAGTCTTGGCAAGAATTACTATGGGAATCTCGGCAAGAATTACCACAGGGAATCTTGCCAAGAATTACCACGTGAATCTTGGCAAGAATCTTGGTAGGAATTACAGCGGTAATCTTGGCAAGAATCCTTGTAAGAACTGCCACAGGAATCTTGGCAAGAATTACAATGGGTATCTCGGTAAGAATCTTGGTAAGATTTACTGAAGGTGTCTTGGCAAGAATCTTGGTAAGAATTACTATGGGTATGTTGGCAAGAATGTTGGTAAGAATTACTATGGGTATCATGGCAAGAATCTTGGCAAGAATTACTACGGGAATCGTGGCAAGAATCTTGGCAAGAATTACCACGTGAATCTTGGTAGGAATCTTGGTAGGAATTACTACGGTAATCTTGGCAAGAATTTCCACGGGAATCTTGGCAAGAATCTTGGCAGGAATAACTACGGTAATCTTGGCAAGAATTTCCACGGGAATCTCGGCAAGAATCTTGGCAGGAATTACTACGGTAATCTTGGCAAGAATCTCCGCAAGAATTGCCACAGGAATCTTGGCAAGAGTCTTGGCAAGAATTACTATGGGTATCTCGGCAAGAATCTTGGAAAGATTTACTGAAGGTATCTTGGCAAGAATCTTGGTAAGAATTACTATGGGTATGTTGGCAAGAATCTTGGTAAGAATTACTATGGGTATCATTGCAAGAATCTTGGCAAGAATTACTATGGGTATCATTGCAAGAATCTTGGCAAGAATCTTGGTAGGAATTACTACGGTAATCTTGGCAAGAATCTTGGCAGGAATCTTGGTAAGAATTACTATGGGTATCTTGGCGAGAATCTTGGTAAGAAGTACTACGGGAATCTTGGCAAGAATTACTACAGGAATCTTGGCAAGAATTACTATGGGTATCATTGCAAGAATCTTGGCAAGAATCTTGGTAGGAATTACTACGGTAATCTTGGCAAGAATTTCCACGGGAATCTTGGAAAGAACCTTGGCAGGAATTACTACGGTAATCGTGGCAAGAATCTTGGTAAGAATTACTATGGGTATCTTGGCGAGAATCTTGGTAAGAAGTACTACGGGAATCTTGGCAAGAATTACTACAGGAATCTTGGCAAGAATTACCACGGGAATCTTGGCAAGAATCTTGGTAAGATTTACTATAGGTATCTTGGCAAGAATCTTGGTAAGAATTACTATGGGTATCTTGGTAAGATTTACCATGGGTATCTTGACAAGGATATTGGTAAGAATAGCTATAAGTATCTCGCAGCGTGCAAAGAAAGTGGTGTCCAATAGCCCGGGGCTAGTGGATTTTGCTAGTGAATTCTGTTATTAACTTGCCCGATGGGTAAGTGAAATTTTTTGGGCGGAAATTCAAATTACAGAAGAACTGTAATCAATCCTGCTTCACAAATTTTTGGGGGGCTAGTTGAAATGACTTTCCGGCTAGTACATGCTAGCTACAGCTTGCCCGAATGGCAGGCTGTAAAACTGACTTTCTTTGCACCCTGTCTTGGCTAGAATCTTGGCAAGAATCACCACGGGGAATCTTGGTAAGAATTACCACGGTAATCTTGGCAAGATTAACTACGGGAATCTTGGTACGAATTACTACAAAAATCTTGGCAAGAATCTTGGCAAGAATTACTATAGGTATCTTGGCAAGAATCCTCGTAAGAAGTACAATGGGTATCTTAGAATAGAATCTGGACAAGAATTACAACGGAAATCTTGACAAAAGTCTTGGTAAGAATAACTGTAAGTATCTTGGCAAGAATCTTGGTAAGATTTACTATAGTAATGGCAAGACTCTGGGTAAANCAAATTACAGAAGAACTGTAATCAATCCTGCTTCACAAATTTTTGGGGGGCTAGTTGAAATGACTTTCCGGCTAGTACATGCTAGCTACAGCTTGCCCGAATGGCAGGCTGTAAAACTGACTTTCTTTGCACCCTGTCTTGGCTAGAATCTTGGCAAGAATCACCACGGGGAATCTTGGTAAGAATTACCACGGTAATCTTGGCAAGATTAACTACGGGAATCTTGGTACGAATTACTACAAAAATCTTGGCAAGAATCTTGGCAAGAATTACTATAGGTATCTTGGCAAGAATCCTCGTAAGAAGTACAATGGGTATCTTAGAATAGAATCTGGACAAGAATTACAACGGAAATCTTGACAAAAGTCTTGGTAAGAATAACTGTAAGTATCTTGGCAAGAATCTTGGTAAGATTTACTATAGTAATGGCAAGACTCTGGGTAAAAATTACTATGGGTATCTTGGCAAGAATCTTGGTACGAATTACTATGGGTATCTTGGTAAGAATCTTGGCAAGATTTACTATCGGTACTATGGTAAGAATCTTGGTAAGATTTACCACGGGAATCTTGGAAAGAATCTTGGAAAGAATTACTATGGGTGTCTTGGAAAGAATCTTGGTAAGAATTATTACAGGAATCTTGAGAAGAATCTTGGTAAGAACTACCGCGAGGATCTTGGCTAGAATCTCGGCAAGAAGTACTATGGGTATCTCGGCAAGAATCTTGGTAAGATATACCATAGGTATCTCGGCAAGATTCTTGGTAAGAATTACTATGGGTATGTTGGCAAGAATCTTGGTAAGAATTAGTATGGGTATCTTGGCAAGAATCACTACTGGAATCTTGGCAAGTATTACCACACGAATCTTGCCACGAATTACCACGGGAATCTTATCGTGGTAAGAATTACTACAAGAATCTTGGCAAAAATCTTGGAAAGATTACTATAAGTATCTTGGCAAGAATCTTGGTAAGATTTACCATGGGTTTCTTGGCAAGAATCTTGGTAAGATTTACTATAGGTATCTCGGCAACAATCTTGGTATGGCAAGAATTACCACAGGAATCTTGGCAAGAATTACCACGGGAATCTTGGCACGAATCTTGGTAAGAATTACTATGGGTATCTTTGTAAGAATCTTGGTAAGATTCACTATCGGTACCTTGGTAAGAATCTTGGTAAGATTTACCGTGGGTATCTTGGCAAGAATCGTGGTAAGATTTACTAGACGTATCTTGGAAGGAATCTTGCTAAGGATTACTACCGGAATCTTGGCAAGAATCTTGGTAAGAATTACTATGGGTATCTTGGCAAGATTTGGTACGGGAATCTTGGTAATAATTACTACGGGAATATTTGCAGGAATCTCCACGGGAATCTTGGCAAGAATCTTGGTAAGAATTACCGCAGGAATCTTGGAAAGAATCTTAGTAAGATTCACTAGAGGTATCTTGGCAGGAATCTTGGTAAGGATTACTACCGGAATCGCGGCAAGAATCTTGGTAAGAATTACCATGGGTATCTTGGCAAGAATTACCACGGGAATCTTGGCAAGAATCTTAGCAAGAATTACCACGGAAATCTTGGCAAGATTTAGTACCGGAATCTTGGTAAGAATTACTACGGGAATATTTGCAGGAAGCTCAACGGGAATCTTGGCAAGAATCTTGGTAAGAATTACCGCGGGAATCTTGGTAAGAATTACTATGGGTATCTTGGCAAGACACTTGGCAAGAATTACCACAGGAAATCTTGGTAAGAATCTTGGCGAGAATTACCACGGGAATCTTGGCAAGAATTACCACAGGAATCTTAAAAAGAATCTTGGTAAGAATTACTACAGGAATCTTGGCAAGAATCTTGGTAAGAATTACCGCGAAGATCTTGGAAAGAATCTCGGCAAGAATTGCCATAGGGATCTTCAGAAGAATCTTGGTAAGAATTACTTCGGGTATCTTGGCAAGAATCCTAGTAAGATTTACTATAGTTATCTTGGCAAGAATCTTGGTAAGAATTACTATGGGTATCTTGGCAAAAATCTTGGGAAGAATTATCACGGGAATCTAATTTACCATAATCTTTACTACGATTTACTATGGGTATCTTGGCAAGAATATTGGTACGATTTACTATAGGTATCTTGGCAAGAATATTAGTAAGAATTACTATGGGTATCGGTATCTTGGTAAGATTTACCATGGGTATCTTGGCAAGAATTAAAACGGGAATCTTGGCAAGAATCTTGGTAAGAGTTTTTATTGGTATCTTGGCAAGAATCTTAGTAAGATTTACTATAGGTATCTTGGCAAGAATCTTGGTAAGAATTACCACGGGAAATCTTGGCAAGAATTTGAACGGGAATCTTGGCAAGAATCTTGGTAAGATTTACTATAGGTATCTCGGCAACAATCTTGGTATGGCAAGAATTACCACAGGAATCTTGGCAAGAATTACCACGGGAATCTTGGCACGAATCTTGGTAAGAATTACTATGGGTATCTTTGTAAGAATCTTGGTAAGATTCACTATCGGTACCTTGGTAAGAATCTTGGTAAGATTTACCGTGGGTATCTTGGCAAGAATCGTGGTAAGATTTACTAGACGTATCTTGGAAGGAATCTTGCTAAGGATTACTACCGGAATCTTGGCAAGAATCTTGGTAAGAATTACTATGGGTATCTTGGCAAGATTTGGTACGGGAATCTTGGTAATAATTACTACGGGAATATTTGCAGGAATCTCCACGGGAATCTTGGCAAGAATCTTGGTAAGAATTACCGCAGGAATCTTGGAAAGAATCTTAGTAAGATTCACTAGAGGTATCTTGGCAGGAATCTTGGTAAGGATTACTACCGGAATCGCGGCAAGAATCTTGGTAAGAATTACCATGGGTATCTTGGCAAGAATTACCACGGGAATCTTGGCAAGAATCTTAGCAAGAATTACCACGGAAATCTTGGCAAGATTTAGTACCGGAATCTTGGTAAGAATTACTACGGGAATATTTGCAGGAAGCTCAACGGGAATCTTGGCAAGAATCTTGGTAAGAATTACCGCGGGAATCTTGGTAAGAATTACTATGGGTATCTTGGCAAGACACTTGGCAAGAATTACCACAGGAAATCTTGGTAAGAATCTTGGCGAGAATTACCACGGGAATCTTGGCAAGAATTACCACAGGAATCTTAAAAAGAATCTTGGTAAGAATTACTACAGGAATCTTGGCAAGAATCTTGGTAAGAATTACCGCGAAGATCTTGGAAAGAATCTCGGCAAGAATTGCCATAGGGATCTTCAGAAGAATCTTGGTAAGAATTACTTCGGGTATCTTGGCAAGAATCCTAGTAAGATTTACTATAGTTATCTTGGCAAGAATCTTGGTAAGAATTACTATGGGTATCTTGGCAAAAATCTTGGGAAGAATTATCACGGGAATCTAATTTACCATAATCTTTACTACGATTTACTATGGGTATCTTGGCAAGAATATTGGTACGATTTACTATAGGTATCTTGGCAAGAATATTAGTAAGAATTACTATGGGTATCGGTATCTTGGTAAGATTTACCATGGGTATCTTGGCAAGAATTAAAACGGGAATCTTGGCAAGAATCTTGGTAAGAGTTTTTATTGGTATCTTGGCAAGAATCTTAGTAAGATTTACTATAGGTATCTTGGCAAGAATCTTGGTAAGAATTACCACGGGAAATCTTGGCAAGAATTTGAACGGGAATCTTGGCAAGAATCTTGGTAAGATTTACTATAGGTATCTTGCCAAAAATCTTCGTAAGAATTACTCTGGGTATCTTGGCAAGAATTTTGGCAAGAATCTCCACGCGAATCTTGGCAAGAATCTTGGATAGAATTAACGGGAGAATCTTCGAAAGAATCTTGGTAAGAATCATTACAGGAATCTTGGCAAGAATCTCGGTAAGAATTACCGCGAGGATCTTGGTTAGAATGTCAGCAAGAATTGCCAAAGGAATCTTGGCAAGAATTACTATGGGTATCACGGCAAGAATCTTGGTAAGAATTACTATGGGTATGTTGGCAAGAATCTTGGTAAGAATTACTATGGGTATCATGGCAAGAATCTTGGCAAGAATTACTTCGGGAATCGTGGCAAGAATCTTGGCAAGAATCATGGCAAGAATCACTACGGGAATCTTTGCAAGAATTACCACAGGAATCGTGGCAAGAAACGTGGGAAGAATTACCACGGGAATCTTGGCAAGAATTACCACAGGAATCTTGGCGAGAATCTCAGTACGAATTTCTATGGGAATCTTGGCAAGAATCTTGGTAACAATTACTATCGGTATCTTGTCAAGAATCCTGGTAAGAAGTACAATGGGTATCTTGGCAAGAATCACTACGGGAATCTTGGCAAGAATTACCACGGGAATCTTGACAAGAATTACCACAGGAATCTTGGCAAGAATCTTGGTAAGAATTACCATGGGAATCTTGCTAAGAATTACCACAGGAGTCTTGGCAAGAATCTTGGGAAGAATTACTACGAGAATCTTGGCAAGAATCTTGGTAAGAATTACCGCGGGGATCTTGGGAAGAATTGCCACAGGAATCTTGGGAAGAATCTTGGTAAGAATTACTGTAGGTATCTTGTCAAGAATCTTGCTAAGAAGTACAATGGGTAACTTGCCAAGAATTACAACCGGAATCTTGGGAAAAACCTTGGTAAGAATTACTATAAGTATCTTGGCAAGAATCCTGCGATTTACTATACGTATCTTGGCAAGAATCTTGGTAAGAATTACACTGGGGATCTTGGCAAGAATTACCACGGGTATCTTGGCAAGATTTACTACGGGAATCTTGGTAAGAATTACTACGGGAGTCTTTGCAAGAATCTCCTCGGGAGTCTTGGCAACAATCTTGGTAAGAATTACCGCAGGGATCTTGGCAAGAATCTCAGCAAGAATTACTACGGGTATCTCGGCAAGAATCTTGGTAAGATTTGCTATAGGTATCTTGGCAAGAATCGTGGTAACAACTACTATGGGTATGTTGGCAATAATCTTGGTAAGAATTACTCTGGGTATCTTGGCAAGAATCGTGGCAAGAGTTACCACAGGAATCTTGTCAAGGATCTTGGCAAGAATTGCAACACGGGAATTTTGGCAAGAATCTTGGCAAGAATCTTGGTACGAATTACTACAGGAATGTTGGCAAGAATCTTGGTAAGAATTACCACGGGAATCTTGGCAAGAGTTACTACAGGCCAATATTAACACTTACTTCTTACTTGGGGCAAAATGTCGGCTTAAGGGAGGGTCAGGTGGGCAAAATGATGATAATGATCCAAAAATTACTACGACACCCTCTTACTGGTTCAGAGTCATAAAGCCCTGCAGCCTCAAGCAGTTCCTCTTCTTTCTCTAGCTCTTCTAATTTCTGTAACGAGAGAAATTCAAATATTTATTTTTGTGATAACAAAAAGGTACCAGATCCACCTAGAGGTAAGGCGCCTGAAGAATCGGACACTAAACTAGCAAATTTTGGTCAGCCAATGTCCAATAACAGACTGTTATTTGGAGCCCCGTAAGCGCAAAAGCATTGATATGAAAACGAGCTTCGTTATCATGCAAATAAAACTTGTTTTCAAAAGAGAGATTTTGCATTTAGCCTCATTTTGAAAGTGAGACTTTTTGGAACTTGGAAATGGGCTTCATTTGTATTGCCAAGTGTATTGATTGATTGATCAATTGACTGATTTTTTATAAACACATCTAATCAATTGTTAAATAATTAATTCNTTCATTTGTATTGCCAAGTGTATTGATTGATTGATCAATTGACTGATTTTTTATAAACACATCTAATCAATTGTTAAATAATTAATTCAGTTATTGTAGTGACATATACAAATCTCAGATGAGGCGGATTAAAAAAGGACACAAAGTCCCCTTTGTGTTTAGGGCTCCTCTCTTGGTTTGATCTGTTACTTTTCACATATTGAAACTTTAACACTACAACTCCAAGTTGAAACCTCACCTTCATAATATCTGGATCAATCAAGTCAGCCACATTCTTTCCAAGGTAAATCTCTGGTAAAATATCATGTTTCTCATCACCTTTTGCCAGATCCCAATGCTCCCGCATATCCATGTAATAATCTTCTCCCATCTCAATCTCCAGATCTCTGGCCAGTTTGCGCTTGGGCTGGGCTCCTTCAACAACCATAGCCTGCCTTTTGTCCAATACAGCCTGTATATGAACTAGCAAAAATAAAGTTTGAATCAATATTATAAGACAATCTAAACTCTCTCTGTGGACATAATTTCTTGCAATGTGACACAGTGTAGATCTAATAATACATGTATTACAATCACCTTGACAGAATGGTTATTAACAGTAATATTTAAAACAAATGAAGAACGATCCTCGCAGTTGTGAACGCAATTCATGCAATTGCAAAAGAAGCCAGAAAAAGATTCATGACTTCCATGAAATTTGAACCCATGACCTCGCAATACCAGTGCGACACTCTAACCAACTAAGCTACAATGTATGAAAATGATAAATCACAACTGCAACGATCATTTTTCATTTTTTTAATGTCATTTCCACTGTTCTCGTATATGATTTATTTCATGCACATTTGTCAGTAATAATTAAATCATCACAATGCACTATAAAGCAGGGTGCAAAGAAAGTCAGTTTTACAGCCTGCCATTCGGGAAAAGTATAGCTACAGGCGTAGCATAATAACTTAATAACTTCTTCTGTAATTTGAATTCCCCGAAAAACTTCACTTGCCCGTTAGGCAAGTTAAGAACAGAATTCAATAGCCTGATAGAAAAATCCACTAAACCCTGGGCTTTCTTTACACGCGTTTTTGTTTAGTACTCTTTTTTATCTTTAAGCTCTCAAAAAGGAATAGTGCAAAGAAAAATGTGATGTGTTCATACTCTATTTATACAGAACTCAATGTTTGTGCATGGTTGGTGCTGTTTATGCCAATAAAACAAACAGTCATCTAGTGTGGTATTTCTTTCTACATTACTGCGGTTTTCAAAAACACCTGAACTCCGAAGTTCAAAAGCCAACTAACGTTTGTGTTTTTCGGTGCCGTTAATCATCTTAGAGGACCTCTCAGGAAACAGAACTTTACTTAAATGGGTTCAAAAGGTCATGGTTTGTGATCTGTGATTGGCGGATTTCAATCCGTTTGTGTGTTTCTGTGTTTCAAGGTTCATTGCTTGTGACGGTAAAAGTGTAATTATGATTGAGGGCAGCAAAAAAACGCAATTGTGAAGGCGGCTTTTGAACTAAAAAGCTCGCATATTTGTGAAAAGCGCAGTAACGGAGTCTATACTAAGCAGCACAAACTTCCACGAGAGTTCATCTATCTCTTGTACAACCAGTGTTAACCTACCAAGACAATTTTCTTATGTGATCAATGTCCTCACTCTCACTATATTACACATTGATTCCCTAGAGAGAAAGTCTATACTGATCACTGTGGGCTTTAAGGATTGATTATAGTTACTTTATGAGATGTTCGCGATAGTGTGGCATTACCTGAGGAATACAGGGTGGTCTCTCTTTCTGATCTCTCTGTGCTGGCATGCCAACATGAAGTCTGTTCATGACGTCTGATGTTTTTTGCTCTTTATCTTTATTTCAACTCTCTGAGCTAGGAGCTGATTACAAGCTTCATTTCTGACAGTCATCACGCCTTCTTCACTAACTGTACTCATTGGAAGAAGGGAAACACCTACAGAAACAGCCAGAAGTTTATCTCTATGTTCGTTCTTTGTTCATACACAAAAAAAATGTCAATAATGTACAAAGACACACTGCCTTATTAAATATAGCAAGTTCTAATTATGGGGGAGAGACTTACTATGTTTACAAAAGTCAAGTAAAAATAGTTTGCCTTCTAAGTTAACGGTTTAGGATAATGATGAGGATGATGTAGCCTGTGGACAAGCTCCCCTCTTTAGGCGAGCCAAGCGAGCCACACGAGAATGCACGAGAGAGCGAGCGACAAAGCCGCGAGAGACCGAGGAAAGGAGAGCTTGCAACAATCTCTCATAAATTTTAATTTGCACATGTACTTCGCCCAGATGAAAGGATAAATGACGTTCTGGAAATCAAAGTTGATTGATGACGGGCCTAGCTGAAGGGAAATGTATTATCACCAAAACCTGCGTTATGTTGGCGATCGCTGAACTCACTTCAAAAAAGAAAAGACTGGCAGAGGAAGAAAATGGCTTTCTTCTTCTGTGAAAGATAACTTTCGTCTGTGTGTCAAATTTGAATCTCAGGGGGATCATGCTGGAAGCGAGAACTTGTTTCAACCCTCAGAGCAGACGGGTTTGTTTGATGTAATTCTTGCAAAGCTGTACGCATGAAAGTGTTGCCAATAAAATTTTTCGAGCTGAGGATTATCAGAAAATCGGAACCCTTCATCAGTTGTATTTGTTTGTTTTAAGTGCCTTGTTTAGTTCTGAAAACAAGAAGAGTGAAAGTGAGGAGAGATTCGAGTGCCTGGTTCAAGAACTGCCTTCCAACGTTGCTTTTTTTGCCTGATTAAATTCCACCGGGTAGAAAATTCAGAAACTGGTACATGACAGTGTAGCTGGCAAAGAATTAGCAGCTGACTGTCGAGAAGGTCAATAGAAAGAGTAGGAAGCAACTGAGGAGTAAAACACAAGAGAACCAAGTCCAGGAAAATGCTCTTCTCCAGTTCCGAAACAGACAAATATATACTATGTTTCAAAAACTAGTGATTGTGACGGGGAGCTTAGTCTTCTGACTGTGGATAACTTTTCGAATGTAAACGAGACGAGAATCAAAGTATTGAGTTCTTATCCGAGCGGACATTTTGTAGTTCGATGTCCAGAGGATAAAAAAACACATCAGTGGTCAACAACATTGCTTTGATGAAGTGGAAGCTGTTGAGGAAGCGATTTAATAAATAAATAAATTCTATGTGCCCTCAGCTGTCTTAACATGACGTTCTAATCTGCACACGTTTGCGGTGACAGTTTTAATGTTTTGAGGTGTTTAGGGCGGAAATGAAAATTAATGAGTGATCGTTGCAAGCTCTCCTTTCTCTTCCCCAACTGCCGCTTTCAAGTCTCCTCTCACGTGTGTACTTTTCGCAATGGAGAGCTTGCTCGCAGCCTAAGGATGATGATGACGGTGGTGGTATTGATGATGACAATGGTGATAATGATGACTACTATGATGATCAATGATGATCAAACATCATAATCACCAAGATAAGGATTTTTATGATCATGATGATGATGATAATGATACTGAGATGATCAGCGCATTAAGGGTTTCCTGGGTGAACAGTGGTAACGTAGGTGGACTGTACTGCAGCATAGTACTGCAATGTTATGAAGATCAAGCAGAATATTACCTTCTTGATCAAAAACTTTAATCAACTCTTTCTTCTCCTCAGAAAGCTCATCCGGTCTAAGCACATCAATTTTGTTTAAGATCACCAGCAAGGGTTTGTTTGCAAAAAGAGGTTTAATGCCATTAAACAGCTCTATCTGTTCCTCAAGAGTGTGACCACACTGCTCTGAAATGTCCGTCACATAGAGAATTTTTGTTTTTGTTAGTTCAATAACCACACAGCAGTTCAATAAGCACACAACAGATCAATAACCACACC